GCTTTCAAATCCGTTTTTAGTCAGGCCCCACACAGGTGGCGAGCCAGCCCTTGTTCATGACTCACGTCGCAGGTGCGCAACCCTGCGAGGCGGTTGCCGGGTTCACCTACCTGAAGACAGAGGGAACGTGGGAAGTCAGAGCTGCTTCTGCCGAACCCTGAGAATAGTGCCCACTCCCTCCCTAACAGCTGCCCCGCGGGCCCTGTGACACAGATCGTCCCCAAGGCAGGCTGTGATTTATGTCTGGCGATCAGCGGGGTGGCGGAAGGCAGCCTAGCAGCGGCAGGCCCTTCCACTGCTCTGCTCAGCTGGCCTGGGTTTCAGCCCCGTTTGTCTCCCGACAAACTGCCATTCTCCCTTCGACAGCTAAGTCTTGGCTTCTCCCAAACAATTGCTGGATGGAAGCTCTTCAGATAAGGAACGTGCCATTTAGATCACTCGTTGACAACTTAAAACCAGAAGAGAGCTTTGAAGTTTGGGGACCAGCGGTTAGACATTCTCAACCATTACAGACCATTATTATGCTTTTTGTAATCTCTATGCACCGAACTTTTTTGCTCAGCTCATTTTTTTTTTCTTGAATATATTGATATAAAAGAGAAACATATCGCCGTAAGTAACTGCGACACAGTTTCCGACCAAAACTTTGAGCCTGGGGAGTTTTCTGTTCAAAGGGAAGAGATGTAAATGTTAGGGGGATGTTTAGGACACACAAACAGCCACAGTCTTTCCTGGACATAATTAGAGAGACGTTAATGAGGGAATAACGTCCAACTCTGTATGCACCGAAACTTCAATACACGGCACATGCACCGGAGAGAATCGCCCTGGGTGATCGTAAGATTCATTGACATTTGCTGAGCTCCAGGTACACACGGGGCGTGCTTTGTGGTCCGTGAGGTGCATCAATTCAGTCCACAGCAACACAGTGCTGGCAGCTGTGTCACGACCTCCGGTTCACTCACGGGGACACAGAAGTGCAGAGAGGTCACTGAGACATGACGTCTCCTTTCGGCTTCAGCAAACTCGGTGGCCTCAGCAAAATGTCATCTAAATAAAGGGCCTGAAATTTAACAAACAAAACGCCCATTTGCCTAACCACACATTTCCCTTGTTAGCCGGCGATGCTGGCATCACATGGACTCAAGCAATCTCAGCGGCAAAAATGTAAATTCTGATGATTTGGGAAATGAAAAAAGACTCCTTATAGGTATTGAGAAACCATAGTCCTTTAAAAAAAGAGAACTATGGATTACGAAGAAGACAAACAAATACTCATTCGTGCATGGAATCTATTGATTTTAGAGTGTGAACTTTATTATTCCTATAATTTTGCAAGATGCTGCCATTGGGGAAACGGCACGTGGGAACTCTCTGATTTATTATTTCTTGAGATTGCCTGAGACCTACACTTCTCCAGAATAAAAAAAGTTTAATTTGAAAGAAAGCGTGACTGTTAAAAAACATTCTGCAGAAGTCAGGTGTGATTTTATTCCAAGTAACTTTACATGTGTTATTTCGTGAGAACCTTAATCAACCCTCTTTGTCACCATCTGGATTTACTCATTTTCCAGGTGGGAAAACTAAGCTTCAGAGAAGAAATTTCACTTATCGAGGGTGACAGAGCTCATGGATGACAGAACAGGGATTCAGGTCCAATTCGTTTAAAACTGAGCCCCAAACCAAGGAAAGCTCAGGAAGGGCTATTTTTGTAGTTTAAAGCATTATCCTGAAATACACGCTGAGTACCTATGATTATGTGCAGGAGAGGAGGAGGGAAAGCTTAAACTATGTATCCCGCGACCATCTCCAGAGACAGAACATGGGAAATTTACCAACTGAAGGATGCTCTCCGAGAGGCAGTGGGGTGCTGTGGGGAGGCGGCCAGCTCTGCCATTCCCTGGCTTTGTGTAGGTCACATAACAGAACCCACCCCTACTAAAGCCAGAAGCCTTTATTTTCCAGGTGAGGGGAGAGTCTAGCTCTTAGGCTCTTGTCAAAAGGGCCATTTCCATGTCCAGAGTTGATCGTTAGGCACAGAAAGGACTTCTTGCAATTACTTGGGTTTGCTTAAAAAACATATA